TTTTTTTTTTTTTCCTGCTGGCCTTTTGTTTTGGTTCCATATTTTGGATGGAGCAAAAATCTTTGCTAAGCTGGTTTGAGGAGAGACTTGCAACCACCTATTGCTGCTGTACACAAGAGATGAGGGAGGGACAGAGACATGCTGTCCCATATGCAGATGGCAAACACAGAGCTGCCAAACATTTTTTTATACCTTTTGAGCCCAGGGACAGGTGTCTACCTGAAGGGTTATTTTGGGGAAAAGAGGACTGTTTGTAGGCCACATTCTCTAGAATCTATTTAAGTGACCTATTTTGGGACATGTTAGTCAAACAAAAGATGTTTCTCTGCATATATATATATATATATATATATATGAGAGAGAGAGAGAGAGAGAGAGAGAGAGAATGAGAGAATGAATTAACTTTGAGCTAGGCCTGGCAGAACAACTATAATCTCATATATATATAGCTCAGTGGTCTAAGTACCTGCTTAGATATAGATATAGATATAGATATATAGATATAGATATAGATATAGATATAGATATAGATATAGATATAGATATAGATAGATAGATATAGATATAGATATAGATATAGATATAGATATAGATATAGATATAGATATGAGAGAGAAAATGAGAGAATGAATTAACTTTGAGCTAGGCCTGGCAGAACAACTATAATCCCCACACTTTCGAAGGCTGAGACAGGAGGACTGCAAATCTCAGCCTGGACAATTTAAAAACTTAGCCAGATCCTGGCTGAATAAATAAAAAGGGCTGAATGAAGATGTAGCTAAGTGCAAATAGGTTCAAAAAGCAACTCGAAGCTATAATTAATTATACTAATACAAATTTACCTTAAGGTAAAAATATAAAGAAACTCTGGGAGGCTGAGACAGGAAGATAGTGACTCTGAGAGCAAACTGTGTCTTGGTGATCTAGTGAGCTATCTCAAAAAAGGAGCTAGGGGGGCTGGAGAGATGGCTCAGTGGTCTAAAGCACCTACTTGGAACAAGCTTGGCAAAGCACAGGGACCGAGGTTTGATCCCCCAGCACCACATGCCAGCCAGCTGTGCCCCCTGGTGGGCTGAGCTGGCCACACACACACACACACACACACACACACAATAAAAAAATGTTAAAAAAAAAAAAAAAAAGGAGCTAGGGATATATCTCAGTTTGAAGGCTCCAAGTTCAATCCCAACTACTATGACAACTGATTAGATAAACTACATTCATGGATTAATATACTGAGTTAACCACTAATAACATAGTTGTAAACTTTTGACACAAAAATTCAGGATATATTTAAACAAAAATAGTGCTATACAAAGTCCAAAGGGGAACATTAAAATATCCACACACACACACACACAAAAAAAAAAAATAAATAAAATAAAATATCCACACAAATAAGAAAAAAACACAAAAATGTTAGCAGTGATTTTTAATCCATTTACAAGGTTTCAATTTTTGCATGAAATTTATATATGCTACCTAGAAAATTTAAGTAACAAGAATTTGAAAATTTTTATTATGTTCCATTGTTATGAGCCACTCCAAAAGGAAAATAGGCATAGAAGGATTAACTACTAAGACTATATGTAACTTGTTCCTAAAGGCCTTTTTTAAAATAAATTACATGCCTGGGTTTAACAGTATTATTTTTCAAAGAAAGAAAAATAAGGGCTGACCAGATAGCTCAGCAAATTAAAGCACTTGCTTAGGCAGGTATAGGGACCAGGATTTGATCCTGACGTGCCATGCTGAGATGGTGACTGAGACTGGGTGTGGTGGTGGGCACCAGCACTTGGGAGGATGAAAATAGAAGGATCACTACAAGTCCGATCTGTATAGTGAGACCCTGTAGACCTATACTAAACACATAAAAGAAAGACAGGGAGACAGAGACACACAGTGAGAGACAGAGACAGAGACAGAGACAGAGACAGAGACAGAGACAGACAGAGAGAAAGAGACAGAGAAAGAGAGCCCAGTGGCAGAGCACTGGACTAGCACTCCAGAGGCTCTGTGTTTGGTTGCCCCTACAGCCCAGATAAAAATAAACAAGGATGAAAACAGGGATCAGGGTTACTCTTAGAGGTCCTGAGTTTTCATTTCAAATCAAGAGGCATCAAACTAGGTCACTTAGTTTTTCTTAATATCTGGTTTCTTGATTAAAAAATAGAAATAGGTCAGATCATGTTCTAACATGTGACATTCTAGTACATGAGCCGTTGAGGTGGAGAGAGGTTTCAGACACAATCTTGAGTTCACGGTGATCCTCTTGCTTCAGCTTCCTCACTATGGGTGTACAGCACCATGCCTGGCTAGTATGTGAATTTTTAAGATCTCTTTCTGCCAAAAATATATTCTATAGCTATAACTTACAATAAATGTGGCATTTATTCAGTCTTTAAAGACTTCTGTTACATTTTTAATTTCTTTCTCTTCTAATATAGCAAAATCTGTATTCATTTTTCATAGTTCTGGGGATGAAACCCTAAAGGGCTCTATCACTGAGCTACATTCTCAGACTTTCTGATTTTTCTTTATTTTGAGAAAAGACCTTCCTAAGTTATCCAGGCTGGTGCTGGGCATGCAATCCTCCTGCCTCCACCTCTCAAGTAGCTGCAATCAGATATGTGTTATCATATGTAGCCAATAAAATATTATAAATTTCATAAAAAGACTATATAATACAAATATTTCACATGGTAATGTATTTCTCAAAAATCCTAGAAGCTTAATTTCTTGTTTACTCACAAAGAGAAATTCTCCATCCAACTTATATTTTCAAAATTTACCTAGAAGTTGGATGAATAGGATCACAGGCACACATTCCCTTTTATCTAGATTCACCAATTATTTGTGCTGTTTGTTTTCTCTTTACATATATACTACTCTTTTCTTAGCTGAACTATTTGAAAATAAACTGCAGACCTATTCACATTTTAAATTATTTTTCATTCCTTGAAAACTCAAAGAAAATGCACGGGTACTTAGCGATATGGTGTTGGGATAAGAAAGGGAATTAGCCATAAAAATCAACAAACTTACAGGAAAGAAATTTGTCAAAAATATTTTAAACTTCAATATGCTGCTAAAAAATTTTAAGACAAACATCAAAGATATAATTGACATGTTAATATTTCACTGTTAAGAGTTTCTGAAATTAATTTATCTTTTTAAAATAAGTGTTTATGGAATACTTACTAAGTACTAGGTACTTTCTAATTCACAGGTTTAATAAGCAAAACAGACAACTGAAGAACATAAGTATAGTGAAAAAACAAGAGCAAATACAGAGACATATTTCACAAATAAAGCTTACTAACAAGAGAAAAATGGTTTGATCTAAAATGACATTCAAATTTACAATACATTATTTTAAATGTTACAAAAGATAGTTATTAAGAAGTTACCTGTGATTTTGTAACACAACTACAGTTAACAAAAATATCATATATTCAACAATTGCTAAGAGAAATGAAATGTTCTCAGGACAAAAAGAATAAAAAATAAATGAGGTGAGAAGTAAGTTAATTAGTTTGTCTTAACTATCCTTAATGTATCCATATATCAAGTCATACCAAACACAGAAAGGTATATAATTCGTATTAAAAATTTAGTGACACAAAAGGGCCATTATCTACAAGATTCATAATTATAAACAACATTTTTCCTTTGTACTAAGTCTTCCTTAAGGGGATAGTACACAAATTAGAATTTAGATTTTTCTATAAAAAATTATACTTAATCCTTACTAAAATATATTTTCTACAACACAGCAACTTAGTAAACTGCCAATAAACTTAAGGGATTAAAATTTAACTGAAATTTGACAAAATCAGTAATGTTGAGTATCTCTGATCACATTTTATAGCACAGGAAGCCAGTACAAAAGTCTTCAGAATTGTATTATTTTACAAAATGTTAAGTTATGACCTTAAAGTCTGAAGCACTAAATCTGAGGTTTATAGTTTCATTTAATAAAATTTTTACTCTCCCATAGTACTAATCTTTAGAGACAAGTGCAACTAGACTTTCTTAATTTAGGCACTCTGCCTGAGTATGGATAAATATACACTGCAGACCTACAGCTCCACAGGGCAAAAGAACAAATATTTACCTTCTTAGCATCTGCAGAAGACCTCAACCCTTCTGGCAGTGTGTGCACTAGAGGTAAAACCGCAGCACTGACACGCTGAAAATGGGAATCAGTAACCTGTTCCAGACGCGGTCGCTTGGATTCCAGTGAATCATGATCCACCGGGGATGGACCTGGATGAAACTGTTCATATCCAGATCTCCTTTCTTGAGGCCTAACACAATAAATACATAAATACATACGTACATACAGATATACATACACACATAGTTAAAAATTTGTACGTGATATAGAATATCCTAATGTCCCCAATCAGACTTTCAAATAAATGAAAAAGTTATGCTTACTTTTAGGATGAATTTCTATCCTCCTCCTCTTCTCACCCAGAATAAAATATACCTTTCTAGAGTACTATTAAATTTCTAATTCAAATTTTAAAGTTTCTTAGGGAGTTGGAACAAGATGGTTTTAAAAAGTCTAGAAATGAAAGGAATTAAAAAAAACTTTAATTTGCAAAAAAACTAGAAATACTTTGTCACACATGGAGGAACACATCTATAATCCCAGAACATGGGAGACTGAGGCACAAGGATCGCCACAAGTTTGAGTCTAGCTTGTGGTACAGAGTGAGTTCAAGGCTAGTCTGAACTATGTAGCAAGATGCTTTCTCAGAAAAAATAAAAATAAAAAATAAAAAAATTACCAAAGACTATCCATAGAACATTTTTAAATCCATGCCATAAAATTTGAACTCAAAATAATACAAACCAAAAATGCCACCATTTTTCAACAAATTAAAGACAAGCAGAAATAAACAAGTGCATCTCCTTGCTATTGCTACATGGAAAGATAAATATATGAGGCTGGAGTTGGAGAAGAAATCCACTGCAGTGCCTGAAACATTTGAGAGTGGCTAGCATCATGAACCACTTGGGGAAGAGGTTTATTGTTTCACACCAGGCTTACCAGGGACCCAGGTCACAGAATAACTACTTAAGGGTCTTAGGAGCATCCTACCAAGGTGAGTAGGTGGAGGATAGCCACAAGAAACAGAGAGAAGGGGCAATCTAGTGGCAGATCCCCTGAGAAGCTGAAGCTGTGGTGTATAATCAGGTTGTGAAGGAGGCAATCCTACCCCATGTGTAAGAATTCAGGCCACCCATGGTTTTGTGAGGGGTGCTGTGTTTGAAAGTGCAGAGATTAAGTCGAGTGCACTATGTGGCTCCCATCACAGCCTACTTCTGACACAGTGCTATTTGCTTTTTCTATCTGTCAATCTAATCAGTAATATACCTTGGCTTTGCTGTATATAGGGAGAAAGGATCCTGTGGAGCAAGGGAAGCTCCTAACAAGCTTACAGGCCATGAAGCCCACAAAACCAACCCCACCCCTGGGCACGCTGAGCCAGCCACCAAGACCCGGCATGGTGGTGCATACCTGTTATCCCAGCACTGGGGAGGCTAAAAATAGAAAGATCACTACAAGTCCAAGTTGTGTAGTGAGACCTATACCAAATATATATATTTTTAAAAAGCCCACTGAAAATTGCAATGACTGGGATGGGGAAGGGGAGGACAAAAACACTAGTAGTTGCTGGAGTGAATTGCTGGAGACAGACAACATAGCACTGACTAACCCAGCCCAGGAGGAAAGACGGGGCGGGATTAAGCATTTACACAGCAAAGTGACCAGGGAAACAAAACAGACACTCACTGTGCCTTCAGAGCCTCTACCCAGACCTGATAAATTTCAATTCCACAAGCCCTGGAAATAAACCATTCACTCGAACTAGAGAAAGAATTCTGGGGACTCATTTCTTTCTTTGTTTGGTTTTGATTTGTGGGTCTTATTTTCTTTCTTATTTTTTGTTCTTGTTTTCATGATTTTTTTTCTGTTTTTACCGAATTCTATTAGCTTTCTCCTACTCCTTAATTGGATTTTTATCCTACCTTTCCTTCACATTTCTATTTCAAATTACTTCTTTCACTATTCCCTCCTTGCATTCCCATTTTTATCATTGTTATTGTAAAGAATTAGTGATTTTCAAATATTCAGTTGACTCTATGCTATTATTGCTGAATTCTTTTCTACTATTAATGGTGGTATAGTTACTGCTTTTAGTAAATATTTACTGTATACCAGCATTTGGTTTGTTCTCGTGCCTACGTTATTATAGATCTCTTTCTGTGGTTTAGGATGACACAGGTGTAACTATTAATAGTTCTTACGATATGTCATTAACCAGTTGGTCACTGACTCTATCATTACTACTGATTTCTACTGCTAATGGTGACACAGTTGTTACTTTAATTGTTATTTATGACTGCCAATGTCTAGTTTTGTCATTTTGCACCTCAAGTGCAAAAACAACAGAAACATGAGAACACAAAGTACCAATATGTTTCCATAACCCTTAGCTCTCCAAAAGCTGATCTTACATACACTGAAATAAAGCCAGACACAGGAGCAAAGAATTTAAAAACAAAATAGTCAAAATGTTTAAAGAGGTAAAAAGAAACAAGCAAATGAATAAGATGTTTTAACAAGTTCAAGAAAATTTAAACAGAAGATTTCACCAACAAAATGTTCAATGAACTTTTAAAGAACAATAACTGAGTTAGGCAAGATAATACAACACATGGGTTGGTGAGATAGCTCTGCAATCTAAAGCACCTGCTTAGGCAAGCATAGGCAAGTGCAGGGACCACAGTTTGATCCCTGGCTCCACAATGTTGTGCCAGCCCCAACCCAGGGTGGGCTGAGCCAGCCACACACACAAAAAAAGATAATAGAACACAACATATGAATGACCACTTCAGAACAGAATTAGAAAGTATGAAAGAAAACATGCAGACATAGATGATATAAAAAATTCAGTGGAAAGCCTTGCTAACAGACTTGAGCAACGTGAGGACAGTGTCTGAAATAGAAGACAAAGTACAGGTACTAAGTCATAAACTTAGTAATACCCTAAAATGAAAACAAGCTGCATTGAAAAGCTGCTAGATGACAAAAAAAAAAAAAAAGTAAAAATCTAGGAATTATAGGAATAATTAAAAAAATTGGAGATAACTCAAAAGATATAAAAACTTTATTCACTGAAATTACAGCAAAAGTTTTCCCAAACCTAGGGAAAGAATTCAATAATCAAGTATAAGAGGCATAAAGAACCCTACATCCTAAATAGGGTTAGGGAGATAGCTCAATGGCTTAAGCACCTGCCTAGTAAGCTCAAGGGCCTGAAATTGATCTCTGGTATAAAAAAAAAAAAAAAAAAAACAACTAAATAAACACAGTTAGAGAACTTCTTCATGACCCATCATAATAAAAAGTCCTAGAAATTCAACAAAAGATGAGAATACTAAAGGCTATTAAAGAAAAACACCAAGTAACCTAAGAAGATAAGCCCATCAGAATAACTGAGGGTCTCTCATCACAAACATTAAAAGCCAAGAAAGTTGTAGACAAAGTTTTTCAATCCCTAAAAGAAAACAACTGTCAGACTAAACTTTTATACCCTGAAAGACTAGCCTTCAAAACCAAAGAGAAGCAAAGACTTTGCACAACAAAAAAATTCTAAAGAAATATATGACTAGTACGCCAGAGTTATTAAAAAGAAGTGAACTGAGCATGATGATGCATGCCTGTAGTCCCAGCATGAAGGAGGCTGAGGCAAGAAGACAACTGCAAGTTCAAGGCCAGTCTGGGCTATGCAGTGAATTCAAGGCCAGCATGGATTATATGGCAAGACTTTATTTCAAAATCTGAAAAACAAACATAAAAACTTAAGAGAATCTTACAGCACCAGTACCAAAAGAGCCCAAAGGAACATAAATACTATATACATCTACTAGGGGATAAGAAAAAGGGGAGAAAAAAAAAAAAAAAAAAAAAAAGGAATCAGCATTCCCAATAATAAAATGACAGGATGCAATAAACACTTTACAGTAACTCTGTCTCTTTTTTTTCTTTTCTTTTTAGTGGAACCAGGGATTGAACTCAGGCCTTTGCGCTTACCAGGGAAGCTCTTATTCCACTAAGCCATCTACCCAGCTCCTACAGTAACTTTCAATG